GGCTCCAGACTGAAGCCAGGCCAGAGAGGAGGCTCTGGTGTGAGAAGGGGGCTGCCCGCACCTGGACCCCCCAGACAGGGGAGAGAATGGGGTCTGCAGCCCCGGCTGAGCCCGGGGCCTGCTGGCAGGCTGGCTGGTGGAGGGGACTCAGCAGTGGTGCCAGGATAACCGTTCTTGGGAGTCTGGTTCCAGGGGTGCCCACTGAGTCAGAGCAGCTCATCGGCGTGGCCCGCTCTGGATGGTGGGCAGAGGGTCTGGGGAGCGAGCACGGAGAGGTTGTCTCTCTGACCTTTGGTTCCCGCCTCTGCAAAATGACAATATCACAGCCTCGCAGGGACGCCTGGTGCTCAATAAAAGGCCCCTACTGTTTCCACGTTTACTGTCTCGACTGGCTGCTCAGACAGCAAGAAGCAGGAGGCTCCGCCAGCACACAATTCAGAGCATTTATTTAGCACTTGCTGTGTGCTCAGCTCCAGGGTAGGAGAGACCAGCAGCCTCAGGTCAGAGGAACACGTACAGGGCCGAGGACCAGTTGGGAAGGGGCTACTTCTCGGAGCGAGCAGGTGGCCTGCTTGGTGACAGGGAACTGGGAGGAGCTGGACAGCCCCACATGGGCCCACCCAGCACCCAAGTCCAGCCACAAGAAAGCAGGCACCTCCCGCCGCACCTCTGGCCTGGGGGCCGCTGCTGATTGTGGTCAGAGGACGGATCCCACTCCTGGGTCAGATTGGAGCCTCGCCCCAGAACTGGGCCTCCTCCAGTGTAGCCTCCTGGAGGCCCAGGGTTCCTGCTGCCCTGGTCAGTCCCCTGTTGCAAGTTTCTGTCTAGCACAACCTGGTCTTCAGCCTCAGCTAAGTCTCTCTCTCAATGACCCCCTCTCCCCTAACACGCCTGCCTCTGGGCCTTGCTGGCACTGAGCCCCACCTAGGAAGCCCCCAGTGGAGCTCTAGCCAGTGTGGTTACTAAATGGAACTATTAATAACCCATTTTACAGAAGGGGAAATTGTGGAGCTGGGTTACTCATGGGTTCTGTGTGTCCTCCGACTCGGTCTCTGAACCTAGCTTCACTAATACAAACCAGGACAGTTTCTTCCACCTCTCCCAGAGTTTGGCACACAGTAGGTGTTCAACCAATGCTAACTGGACAGTGTCTGTGCAGAACGTCCTGCAAAGGGCCTCACCTGCCCTCTGATCTCTTTCCTCCACAAGATGTCATCACTCCTAGAATCATAACAGCAGCTGGCATTTATTGAGCACCTACTGTGTGCCAGGCTGTGGGATCTGGTGCCATTTGCAATGAGTCTGTGGTCCCCATTTTCACAAAGAAAATAGTCTTAGAGAGACTGACAGGCCCAAGATCTCACACTTGTGTCTATTTGACACCCAGGGTTCTAACTAAGGACATCTCAGAGCCCCATCAACCTGCCCTGCCTCAGAACTCCCCAGTCAACCACTCGTTGTGTACCCCCAAACCAGGTCCTTCAATCCTTCAACCCGATACCCCTGGTCATCTCCCCCAAAGGCCCCGCTGATTCAGTTCCTCTCGGGAACTTTCATTTCTATCCCTTTGTACGCGTTACTGTCCTGCTACACAGACGGCCTACTCACTCCCACGCATGCCCCAGAGGCCTCGGCAGGAAGGGCAGAGAGGAGCAAGAAGGCATCGCAACTGTCCTCCCGGACCCAGGCCCCCAGGCCCTAGAGGTCTTGCTCCCGCCGGGCGAAGTTCCGAGCACAGCCACCAGATGGCGCCCGGTTCTCTCGGGCAGGGCTTGCAGTAAGGCTGTGCGGCCGCCAGATGGTGCTCGAGGCCGCAGCTCTGCGGGCAGTGCAGGGGACAAAGCGGAACGAGGAAGGCCCGCGGGTCCGAGCGCAGTCCGGGGAGCCCCCGCGCAAGTGCCTTTGCCACCACCGCCTCCAGCCCGCGCCATGATCCAGCCCTTGCCCCGGCTCTCTGTGCCCGCCGCGCTGGCCCTGGGATCGGCTGCTCTGGGCGCCGCCTTCGCTACGGGCCTTTTCCTGGGTGAGTAGGAGCGAGCTCGCGGCTCCCCCCAGAGATCCCGCTGGCGGGCTGGGCGGGGGCGAAGCCCGTGAACCCCCGGGGCTGGCTGCGGCGCAGGCTCACCCCTGACGCCCTGGAGCCCCAGGCCCTGACCCAGCACCCTTTCCTGCAGGGAGACGCGCACAGCGATTCCGGAGAGAGAAGCGCCTGCTGCCCCCCGAGGACAGCCCCCTGTGGCAGTATCTGCTGAGCCGCTCCTTGCGGGAGCACCCAGCGCTGCGAAGCCTGCGGCTGGTCAGCGGGGCCGGGGGCGGGAACCGGCGCCCGCCCCCGGCCCCACGGATCCACGTGGTGGCGTGACCTTGGGCTGGGCGGGGACCCACTCTGCCCTTCCGTGTGCGCGGCTCCGCCCAGGCGCGGTGGGCGTTCCCTGGGAAGGGCGTTCCCTGGGCGGGCGGTGCCCGCAGCCACGCCCACGGAGGGGTTCCCGAACCGGGGCGGGCTTGGGGGACCAGCAGAGCCGGTGCGACCCTCTCCGCATCACACACACAGCTGACTCTGGAGCAGCCGCAGGGGGATTCCATGATGACCTGTGAGCAGGCCCAGCTTCTGGCCAACCTGGCGCGGCTCATTAAGGCCAAGAAGGCGCTGGACCTGGGTAGGGCACGCGGCCGCGATCGCTGGGTGTCTAAGTCACCGGCCACCTCCCCACTGTGCCCTGAGCCTACCCTTGTCCTTGTCTGCAGGCACTTTCACAGGCTACTCAGCCCTGGCATTGGCCCTCGCACTGCCCCCGGCCGGGAGCGTGGTGACCTGCGAGGTGAACCCTGGGCCCCCGGAGCTGGGGCGGCCCCTATGGCGGCAGGTGAGTGTCCCTCGCCAGGTGCCAGGTGCCCGGAGCCCAGCCACTCCTCTCCTCGCTCCGGGAGAGGGGACATGCTGGCTCTGACCCCACTCCTCCCGCAGGCTGAAGAGGAACACAAGATTCACCTTCGGTTGAAGCCCGCCCTGGAAACCCTGGGTGAGCACCGGGGTGGAAAGGGCCTTGGCGCCATTTCCCAAATAGGGCCATCGGGTGCAAGCTAGTGACCAGGTCCTCCGGACGGGCTTGGGGCAATGACAGCCCTCCGCTTCCCAGCCTCACGGTATGCGGCCACAGCGTCCTCGAGGCCGGAGTCCCTGAGTGGTCACAGCACCTGAACTGGCCTGGGCAGGGGCTCCGGCCACCGGGACCGTAGACTCAGCCACATCTGCCCTCTCCCACCCCCACCCCCCGCAAGATGAGCTCCTGGCCGCGGGCGAAGCTGGCACTTTCGACATAGCCGTGGTGGACGCCGACAAGGAGAACTGCACCGCCTACTACGAGCGGTGCCTGCGGCTGCTGCGACCGGGAGGCGTCCTCGCTGTGCTCAGTGTAAGGAAATTCTAGGGGCGAAGGAAAGATCCTGGGGCTGGGAGTCTAGCCCTGGGCTCCTCCCTGTCCCGCCCCCACAGCTCCACCAGGACTCAAATAAGCTCCTCCCCCAGCGGGTCTGGGTGGGGGGGGCCTCTCCCTGCTGATTGTCCCCAGTCCTCGCCCCGCCTCCGGTTCAGGTTCCCCTCTGAGGCCCCGCCCCCGTGACGCCCCGCCCCCCGCAGGTCCTGTGGCGGGGAGAAGTGTTGCAACCCCAGCCGAAGGACCTGGAAACCCAGTGCGTGAGAAGCTTGAACGAGCGCATCCTGCGGGACGCCAGGGTCCACATCAGCCTTCTGCCCCTGGGCGACGGCCTCACCTTAGCCTTCAAAATCTAAGACTGGCCCCCAGCGATGGCCTCAACGGAAGGGACCTGGGAACCCGCTACCGGCCTTGAGTTTTAAACCTGTCAATAAAGTGGATCCTAGACACAACCTTCTGAGCTTCCATAAGGCACTGAAGTGGGTAAGAAGGGAAGGCCCGGCACAGACAACTTCTTGAGCAAAAGGGAGCCTTCAGGTTAGATGTTCACCCCTCCCTGGCCGTCCTGAGGGCCCTGGCACCAGGGCTGTGGCCCAACCACAGGAGCCTCCAGCTGACTAGAGGCTGGATGGATACAGTTTTAAGCGCCCTGGCCACGTACAATTGGACAGAGGACCCAGCTCCGCAGGTCTGCCTCTACTCCACAGGCTCTGGGGGCTAGGTGCTGGGTAGAGCCCACCTTGGTATCCCCCAGTTCCACATCTCTTCCTAGGAGGGTAAGTGAATGTTCAGTCCCAGCGCGGCTGAGACTACTGGGGAACCCTATCTGGGATCTGAAGGTTAATGCCAGTTCTCTGAACCAGACCACTTAGACCTGAGGACATCAAGGTTGACTGAAGTATATCCTGTCCTCTCCCTTAGGTCCTGAAGGTAAGGGACTGGGTGGGATCACTGGCCAGAGAAGTGTGAAGCAGACGGAACTATAGGTATGGTAACTTTTAACAAGTAACCAGAGGAAGATAGAAAGTTAAGCACCAACATCTATGAGCAGAGGTGGAGAGGGAGCCAGGTGCCTTCCTTTTGTTTAAACCTGCCCCAATCCTGTAGGAGGATGTCCATGCCGCAGGTGACAGTCAGGCTCAGGTATTTAAGTGTTCTTTCCACTAACACTGCCTCAGGCAGAAACAGCCTCAGCCCAGAATACAATTAGGTTTTAGTACCACCTGGTTAGGCCTGGATGGTGGAAGGGCACCTGAAGGACGCTAGAAGCAAAGCCACAGGAGCCCACAGGTGGCAACTTTCATAATCCTACAGGTCCTGGCAGTAAACCTATCCTCTCCCCCACTCATAAAAGCACATTAAGATGGACATGGGTGGACAGGTCCAAATTTCTCTACATAGACCTTTGGCAACTCGCTTATGCCACACTTCACAACATATGGTTGGTTATACCCCAGTCCAGAGTACTGAACCAGGTGAACTCCAGCCACATCATGAGGGTGGGCCACCAGGTAGCTAAGGGGCAGGCGGCCATCCAGGGGACTGCAGGTGTTGCCAGGCGCAGTAACCGGGTTTCCTCCCCGCCCACCACCAGCAGTTTGAGACTGCTGGTCTATTTCATACTTATGTATCCCAAAAGCACAAGAGGTACTTTCACAGGCAGCTTTTCCTGTTTTTCTTACCTAGCAATAGGTCCTGACTCAAATAAATTGGTTCAAATGCCAACTTTCTGCCACCATTAAGTCACATGTGCCTGATTCACTCAGGCCAGGCCAGCCAGTCCCTTAGGACAGTGAGACCAGGACTCTTTGTGCTAACCCAGACTTCTAATTTCTCATCATGTTCCTAACCAGGAAATTTTCACTTTTTGGGTAGTAAGCCTCAAAGTACATTTTATCTGTTCTGTGCTTCAGGTCTGTATTGAATTCGTTGAACAAATCTCCCCCTTCTCTAACCTTTGTTCCCATCCTTCAAACTAATCCTCCCATCAAAAAACTTGTTCTTTCCTACTTTTCCAACCAAAATTACCTATTAATTTCTATCATTCTGTCCAAGTCCAGATGAAAGCCAAGGGCCACACAGACTGAAGGCGTTGCCTCTGGTCCCAAACTTGGGCTCAGAGCTTTTCAGTCAGGAAAATGAGTAATGACATCTCACTGGGCCCACAGACTCCCCTCTCAGTCCTTCCAGATCTGGATACGGTCTACACCTTACTTCATTTCCCTACTCCTAGTCTCATCCCAGGGCCTAGTTCGTTTTCCATAGCAATAGCTCGCAGGGGTATGGTATGTGTATATAACTTTTTAGCACCACCCTTCATCACTTACTCTCCAACCCTTCCTGAGAGTAAGTTAACAATGATCCAATGTAATTTTGTACAAACTTAACAGCTGAAGATGTAAAAGGCATAAATCCTTATTTTACTGTGGTCTAAAAAGCTCAGAGTTACTCTAGGGACATTGAGAAGTTTGTGGCACAGGTTTTGGTAAAGAGCAAAATGCTCACTGGAAAAAAATTATTAGCTAGGTAACCAGGGAGATTTGACCCCAGCTAGCAAATTTTTAACTCCGCAAATACTTGGAGTCATTAATTATGTATAGTTGTTTTATTCATAATTTGTCATGTTTTAGGATACCAAAAGTGACTCTAAATGGTTGAATTTAACAAGAAAAATTTAACCTCATCTTAAATCTGCTGATCCATTTCATTCAATGGCAATATTCAATGTTAAAAGGAACATAAAAACAACATGCACACAACTGCACAGTTTTCATAAAGGTCTATTTCATTATTGGTGGGTAGCGCATTTAACAGTTAAATACATTAAATAATGTATAGGTGACTGCACGACTGCAGTATTGGTAACTAGATAGATAACCAATTCAACTAGAAACCAGCTAACAAGTAACTGTCTACATATTTAAAACACAGCTCTTGTTTAGCTCATCCTTTGTTTTGATCACCTTCTTGGAGGGAAAAAAGCCTGCTGGTCACACTGGAAATATATTAAGGCCAAATCTTCTGATATCCACTCTGAGGTTGCTTTCAGCTGGATTAAGCCTCCAACTCCAGGGCAAGCCCCAGTTTGTGGCCACCAGCATTAATGCTCTTCCCATCCACCAGAGCAGACAGTGTAAGCTTCACACCTGTAAACAAAAACCAGGACGTGCATGAAACACCTCACGAGAGCCTGCAGTCTTTTTTAATACTCCAGAGCTTGCCTGTCTGCCTGTCACTTTTCCGCAACCTGTCAGATGACCTACTAGTGCCAGCCACCAGAGGGCACTTGGGAGAATCTGAGATACCAGAGAGAATTCTGTTGGCACCATCCCAGGTTAAGGTATGAAGTCTCAGAGCATAAAATGTTAATAAAGTACAAAGTGCTCTAGAAAATGCAATAATGGTCAACATGCTATCAGAACTATAAGAGACTAAAAGACATCATAATTGAATCCTAGAAAGAAAAAACTACAATAAAGAAACATTCTGGGGACAAGTGGGGAAATCTGAATAGACTAGTACATACTAGATATTATTAATGTTAATTTTCTTAGCTGTGACAATGGTATTGTAGTTATAAAGAAAAATGTCTTGCCCGGCCAGCGTGGTTCAGGGGTTGAATATCAACCTATGATCCAGGAGACCGCAGTTTGATCCCTGGTCAGGGCACATGCCCAGGCTGTGAGCTTGATCCCCAGTGGGGGGGTGCAGGAGGCAGCCAACCAATGACTCTCATCATTGATGTTTCTCTCTCCCTCCCTTCCTCTCTCTGAAATCAATAAAGATATATTTTTTTAAAAAAAGTCTTAGGATATGCATGCTAGGGCTGATGTGTCTACATCTCTGTAAAACATACGTTTAAATAATGCATAAGGGCAAGTGAAAGAAGGGAAAGGATTATGTATACAGACATGGAAAGATAAATGGGGTGAATGTGGGGAAAGGCATATGGGTGTTCAAGGCACCGTTCCTTTCTTTAGGTTTCAAAATAGTCAAATTAAAGGTCTGGGTGAAAATCCCTATTTGAAGGAGGCAGCAGTCCCAGTGCTTTAGTAGAGCCTTACAATCAAAGTGGTGGTTCAGGAACCAGGGACACTGGCATCACCTAAAAGCTTGTTGGAAAGACAGAACTCCTCATCCCAGACCTGTGAGAACAGCATGTGCATTTTAATAAGGTCCCCAAGGTGATTCATGCACACACTGAAGTTTGAGAAGTAATGCTCAAGAAAACACAGCAAGGCTCAAAATACTGTGTAAAGTAAATGAGATTAGAGAGACCAAACAACCAAAGCAACGAGTGAACTTTGGTTGAGGAAATAAAAATGACTGGAAGACATCTCAGGTACAAGTGAGGAAAGTGAACAGAGAATGGACATTAAATAATAAGATGGTATCACTGATCATTTTCTTAGGTGTGATAACAGTATTGAGTTATGCAAACAAGAGAATGTTCTTATTCTGAGGAGACACATGCTTACGCATTTAGGGAAGTGTCAGGATAGCTGCAACTTCCAAACAGCCCAGCAAAAAAAGGGGAAGAAATACAAAATTTTAACCAAAAGTAAACACGTGTTCATTGTACTCTTTGGTCAATTTTGCATGATTGAAAGGTTTGCAAAATAAGAAATGAAAACTAATTTCTAAAAGACTATCAGAAAAATCCTACTTTATCAAGAATACTTACCAGGCCTCAGAGTCTGAGTGTAGCCCACTCCAATTAGACTAGAGTTGTTGACTTTTGCCTAAAATAAAATGCAAAAACTATTATGAAAAATTTTTGAAAGGAGACAAAGCCCCTACATGTTTCCCTATCTTGCAATTATAAATTGTCCGGGCTTTTTATTCACATAATAAAACGTAATATTGTTATTAAGCCAAACAAAAAGCAGGTGCCACTTAATTCTTGTCCATTAAACTCCAAGTCAAATTGTCAGGACACAACACTCATCATATCTACTGGAATGTGTCTTCAGACCCCAAATTGTCCACACAGCCCAAGAGCCTAAGCACTCTCATGAGAATCATCCCAGCCCTGGCCAGTCTTGCTCAGTGGTTAGAGTGTCTGCCCACAGACTGAAGGGTCCCAAGTTCGATTCCGACCCAGGGAATGTACCTCGGTTGCAGGCTCAACCCCCGGCCAGGCCGGCGCACAAGCAGGAGGCAACCAATCAATGTCTCTCTCTCCCTCCCCCTTCCACTCTCTGAAAAAGCAATGGAAAAAATGTCCTCAGGTGAGGATTAAAAAAATAAAAAGAATCACCTTTGTTGAGTCTAATCTAACAAAAGACACGCCAAAATGTGGCAAGTGGAAGTCCACCCGGCCCACTAGCTGTATGATACAGCCTCAAAGTGTGGGATGTGAAGTTTAAATTTGTGACTTTGACACACACAGTACTTTCAAGAGTCGTCCTAAAGAGCCAAAACCATCAATGTTCAAAATCTCCAAATGCCA